AAGCCTGACAATAATTAAGCTTTGTACGAATGTACAGAAAAAATGGGTCCTAATAAAGAAAACAAACGTACAAAGCAAACCCATCTTGCGTTCAGGATCACTATTAGCGAAGCTGTCACGCGCAAACCGCTCGCAAAAAAAGCACGAGGAAAATGGCCTTTAAAGTGGGAGGGGGGCAGGGAGGCTTTTGTCAAAGCATTATTTTTGCCCAAACGCGGCACGCGAACAAGCACGGGCAATGGACTTTTCCCCACGCCGGCCGGGTATTTAAATACTTTTTCCAGCGCGCGCAATTCATTTGATGGGGAGGCTTTTGGCTGGCTGAGCGATTCGCCGGGGCGAGTGTGCGTGGCAGCTACATTATTGCTCTTTGAAGTTGAGCATAATAAGTGCCGTACAAATAAATACACATGCGAGAAAGAGCGCCGGCTGATCGGCACTGTACACGCTGAATACGTGATACTGGGGGGGCGCAAATGCAGCGCCGGCGTATCGATTTCCTTTCAACGTCCGCTTGATCAGCTTACGAGCGCCGAAATCCGACTACAAACCAGAGCAAATACGGCCCACCAAAAGCGCTCTATTTTGTTTTCTTTACTCTTCTTAAGCTGCTTATTTGCTTTTTCAGTTTTGCTTAACAAACTGGGTAGCAAAATTGGCGAAAAAAAATTATTTTTCCTCATTGTGGAAATTTGTGCTGAGATGTGAGCAATGCTATCTGTTTTGTCTCAAAATAAATTAAGAAGTAATCCAAAATATATTCTAAATGTTATTAAAAAAAAAAAAAAAAAAAAAAAAAAAAAAAAAATGCATAATTTCTAGTAAACTATAAAAGCTCAATTTTTGTTTGTGTTCATTCCCCCCCCCCGTTTTTTAAGGAATTTTCATTTCCAGGCATAATGTGAGTGGGTAAATATGTCTCGTCTCTTCATCCAAATGAATTTTCCTGATGGAAGAGAAATTTCCTTTTAAAATGGACAAGTGATTTACTAGATACATTTTGCGGAATGACTTAAAACTTCTATTAAATTAAATTGCGGCAAATTTAGTTAAAATAAGTAATCGCAGCTTGAACTCTACCTGATTAAAACTTCTCATGTTGAGGAAAAAGGTAAACGCCAAAATCAAAATTAAATATATACACAACTTGTTGTGTCGGTGAACCTCGATGCTTACATCGAGTTAATGGAAAACAAATTTTTGATGTAAAGATTATATATTTATTAATTTTCAATGCTGTGAAAAAGGAAAAGCTAATTGGATTTCTGTCAATTACGCTCTATATCAATGTGCAAACTAATTTCGCAGAGATGCTGAACGGGGACCCTTTCAAGTTTGTTTTCAATTTCGAGTCTCAAAACAAAACCGGCGTCGTGCAGATAGACAAGCTTGCTTGCTGAATTAGCACTAAAGCGACGATTGGCTATGAAATTTTTGGCTTACGTTGCGTCATAAAGAACATCCTCTGGGTCCGTATCATGCTAATGCACTTCCACAGAATCCAATTTTATTATCCGTGTTCTGAGACTTTTATTATTTATTTTTATTTTTTATTCCGGTTGTAAAAAACAAAAATTGTTAGGATTACTTTTGAGATGTTTGATTATTGGAGCTTTGGGGGCGATGACGAGCATAAATGAGCCTGTTTTGACGTCACACCCTACCTCACTTGAGTGAAAGTTTGCCGAGATGCGAATTTGATTTTGGGCCCATCAGTGTGTGTTGGTTAGATGCAACCCTTTGGTGCGAAACGCGCTAATTGCCGCCCTAATTGGAGCTCGGAGAAGTTTTCAACGCGACTCCTTGGCACATGTGATCGCTCGTTTTTGCCGCGCCGCGTTGGAATTCATTAGGGCCACTTTTTGCTGCGGCAAGACATTGTTTGATTTATTGCGGCTGTAGTCGGATTTGTTTACCAACTCCTCCCTGCCGCTGAATGATGAAAACCTTAATCCATTTCATCTCTGATGAAAATTACGCCGACTTTTGTATATGGCAAAATATGGATTTCAATCAGACGAAATTAAACTGAAGATCTGCAAAAGCCTTTCTCATTTTTTGTCTCCTAAAGGAAAATGCAAAAACGATGAGGATCTTGTTTGAACGTTTTCCGTCTTTGATATGAAAGTAGGCCAATTGAGCTCTCTTTTTTATACACATCCCGTTCTTTGTGTGCTTCTTCTCTCTCAGTCAGTACACACACTCCTGTGAGTTTATTCAACTGTGAATTCAATTTACGCAATTGTTAATTATCATTCACTTGTTCGATTTGTTTGCTCGCCGGCAGTATAAACATTAATTGTTGGGGAATAATTGTTTGCGTCGTAATTGTAAGCAGAGATTTAACAAACAAACAAACAAATTTATTTATTTTTTTATTACATATTAAATGCGATCAAAATATGACAAAAAATAAGAAAATTTTGATCAAAAGCAAAACCAAAGTCCAGACCTTTTTCAATGCAGTCAATATTTTTGCTGCTTAAAGTTGTCAACTAATATTTTTTGTCAATTTTAAATTTTGTTGCTCTCGTTCAGGCAATTGACCTTTTGTTTCCGAAAATAGAAGAGAACAAGCTGAACAGCCTGATACAGGTATTTCTCAAGCAGGAAATGAGTGGAGTAATGCAAAGGCTTGTGTAACAACGCAAATGGGACACCTGCCTGCTGGAAGTTATGTATGAGAGTGTTGTGCTACTTTGACACACGAAAGTGCTGATAACGCGCATTTTATTCTCCTATCTCTCTGGTGCGTTGGAATATCACATCCTGCTGCTTCGGTATTCCTCCCAGTTAAGCGACGCTAGTACATAAAAGATTTGAATTGTAATTTTGAACTTTCAACTAAGCCGGAATTTTTTACTATATAATTGAAAAATTATTTAAATTTTTATATATTGAATTAAAGTATTTATTGTACACCATTGGATGTGCGACTAATAAAAAAATAAAAATACACAACAATCAAGAAATAAAAAAGATCGAGAATATTACAGAATTTTTTAAGCTTTTGCTAGATTTAGATCATTCTTTAAACAGTCAAAGAAGTGATGAAATTTAATTTGTACTTATTGCTATTAAATTATCTAATTGAAAATAACATAATTTTAAATTGTAAATCGAAGAACAAAATCTTAGTCAACCGAGGCTCACTCCGGTGGATGGGGTCTTTTTTATCTCGGAAATTAAAATTTTTGTATCGACTGAGAAGAATAAAATAAATAATAATAATTAGTTTTAGAAATGTTCTTCCTACTGGTGAAGCCGTTTTGTCCAATAATTCCTTTTTTTGAATAAAATGTTTCCAACAATTAAATGTAAACAATGTGGAGAAATAAGCAACAATAATCAAGGAAACTCGTAATTGAAACAAAAATTTAGATGCGGCAAACTGATTTTAAATCTATAAACAATGTTATTGAATGTTATCAGAATAATTAGGAAATTGAAGGTAATAAAAAATTAAAGCATAAAAAACTGCAAAAAAGAGACACCAAAATTGAAACTAGAACTTCAGAGCTCCTTCTTTTTAGTTATTTAGAAACTTACTTTATTAAAATACTTATTTAAAAAAAAAGAAACGAAATTGTGATAATGGGCCGGAAATCAATCTTCTGGTGTTTAAACTGGACTAGCAAACACGTCTCTTTGTAAACAAACAGATATGGATGCAAACTTGGACGAGTTAATTAGTGTGATCTTGTCTGAGTGAAAACATTGAGCGCTGCTGCTCACGTTCGTTCGAAATTCAAACAAACTCATGTCCCTCGAGGCTTAATTAAAACAAACGACGCGCGCTCATTTGCAAATTTTTTCGGCTGCCAGAGAGACGTACTCAGTCGGGGGCTCCTAGAAAGTCTCCACTCGCGCCCCCGCATCTCGAGTCGCTGTTCAGTTGACTCTCGAGCGAATTTTTGCAAGGAGAGCTGCAAGGGCTGAAAAAAGAAAACGCGCGCGGCGAACTCGAGGGTTCTCCAGCGAGGAGGATACGTACAATAGGTGCACATAATAATTGCGCCCCTTTTCGTGCTGCCACCGGCAGGCAGCTCACCCAGCGAGCTGCTACCTGGCGCAAATTGCCGCCGCGGGAGCCGTGTGTCGATAAACCAAAACTTTGACGGCGGAAAGAGGCGGACCGACGGAATTTTTTGATGGAGGCTCTATTTCTTTACGGTTCAAAACTTCGCCATGAATAAGCAAACAATCTTCAAAATTATTAACTGAAGTATGCAAACTGTGAGATTGGATTCACAACTTTTTTGTTTCTCATAAAATTGGGCTCATATTTAGAAACCTTGAAGCTGTAGCGTTTTAATGCTTAAATTATGTTTGCTGTAAATTTAACGTTTCAGTAAAGGAAAAGTTTTTTTTCTCGACAGTTAAAACAGATTTAATTAATATTAAACGCAAATATTTCACATTAACCTAATTTTTTGCAAACATTTTCCCTCAGGCTTGAAAATATTAAAATAAATTTTCAATTCCCTAATTTATGATTCTGTGCATCAATTCCTACTGATTTTTTTTAATATTTGTTAAGAATAAAAAGTTCTTACTGGTTATCAGCATCTTTAGTTTGTTATGTGGCTGCCATGGTTATTCTTTGATTATATAAAAACTCGTATTTGTTTGGTCTAAAGTAAAAAAAAAACTTCGGAAAGTTGTTCAGTATTTGCTAATTGTTCAAAATTTACGAATTTATAGTTGACTTGTGGCTGATAGAAGATGATTTTTTTACGTAATAGTTGGTATCTGAGCACTTATAAGAAGAAATTCAGAAATCTTTTCAGTTATTAGCACACCAACCTATAGAATTAGGGAGAATATTTAACACATCAATATTATGATTTTTGTACTTTTAGCTTTCATCGTTTTTGTTAGATTTTTGCTAAAATTTTAACTTTGTTTGTTCTGGGTGTGTTTGCTTATGATAATTTTAACATAATTACAAAATTATATTATTCATGATTTGTCTAACCAATGAATTATTCTCGTTCCAGCCACGGGGAAGACCTCATCGTCACACCCTTTGCGCAAATCTTGGCCAGTCTTCGCAGCGTGCGCAACAACTTCCTCAACCTCACCAATGTGCCAATTAGCAAGTGAGTGTGCATAAATTTTATCCTTAACCCTTGGAAATGAGGAGCTCGGTTTTGTGATTTAATTTGGGGCCGAGTGGAATTCTTCGCTGGAAACAATTTGCCCAATCAAGCTTGATGCAAATTTAATTAAATCAAATGTGTTTGAAAGCAATTTGATCGATTCGGTTTTCCGCAGTCGAAACGCACACACACCCTCATTAGCGAAACGCAACCGGGTGGAATGTGTTCGCCCGGTTGCCTACGTTTGATGTTTGCAAAAGTTGCGAGAATAGGTCGCGTCCTAGCTAAGCGGATTCGTCGCCACTTGCTCTCTCGCAAATTTTAATTCATGCTTTTTAGTTAAGGCTCGCCCTCGGCTCTGTCACTTTTAATTCCAAAGAGTGCTTTGCTGCGAGTCTCACTCGGTTTTATTAATAATTCCCCTTTCACGGATCTCTAATGAATGCGTTGCGACCTCATGCAAATTGAAACGCGAGTCAAATCAACTGCGAGCGACAAAGTTGAAGCATCAGATTTATAAATTCTCTACCATCTGCAGAGTTTTCAATTATTGACTGTGAATTTCCTTTGCAGATCTAGAAGATCTTCTGCGGCGCAGCAAAGTGGTGCGGCACCCCCAGTCAAAAATCTTGTACCTGGTGGTAAGTTTTGATTGCAATTAAATTTCAATTATATCAATTAAAAAAAAGACCGTGCAAAATAATATTTCTTTTTTTTCGTCCACCAAATTATGAATTAAATTTTATTTAAAACACGTGTTTACGCTTTCTTACATCATTGATTAAAAAACTGAACTGAATTTAATTTTATCAGATATTTTGAAGACAGAAGTTGACCTGAAGGCCAACCTAATCGGAGGAATAAACGCAAACTTACAATAAAGAAACTGGTGATTTTTTTTAAATAAGAAACAATGTGCTTATTTTTTGCAGTGTAGTTTTTTAACAATTTTAAACATGATGGAAATTATTTAAAAAAAAATAATTTATGAGATTCAATATGAAATAATTGCAAAATATAATTATAAAAACAGCCCAATTTTTTTAAGAATATTGTTGATCTAACAGTTTCAAATTAACTTAAATACTCTTATTGTTAGTGATGAAGCTGCTTATCAATGGAAAATTTAATTTCACTGACAAAAGATTTCTTAGATTTCCAATATTTTTGGAGTTTGAAACAGAAAATCTTTTGAAATTTTGAAGAAAAAAAACAATATATTTACTGTAAAGAAGTGATCTTTAAACTCTAGAAAGTGAATGATTGAAAAAACCTGATAATTTTTTAGATATTTATATATTTTTAGAATAAAAATCCTTGGCATTTTTGTTTCTCCGTAAAGAAATCAATACAATTAGTTTAAAATATTAATTTCCCATTTCCACCCCAAATTTGTGGTTGCAACCCTGTTGTGACTGACCTCGTGGGCAATCCAGGTCACTCGTGAATCGATTTCATGTCTGTCAACATGTTTATCGCGGAAACAAACTGACCGTCAGTCAGGACCTGTCTTCTTTTTTTTTTCAATTTCCCTTTCTTAGCAAAAATGTGGAGCACGCTCGAAAACAAAAGCTTGTTTGTGCAGCTAACAAATGGCCGGCCGCTCTTTAAACCGCGTTTTTCTTCTTCTTGCAGATGAGGGTTACGTGAAGATGGCTGTGGAGACGATGGAGGAGCTGGACTGGTGTTTGGACCAGTTGGAAACCATCCAAACCCACCGCTCCGTCTCCGACATGGCGTCGCTTAAGGTATGTGTCCTTTTTTTCTTTTGTCGCGCGCCACCCCGTCGCCGCCCCGACCAATTTCATACAAAATACATCCATACACGGCGGTCCTGCCTGCAGGCGCTTCATTATTAATTCCAATGCCGTGGTCGATATTTAACTGCATTTCACAAGTCTCTTTCTTTTTTTGCTCCACTGCAAAAGGCTTTCATCAAAAGTTCTCCTTTCATGTGAGAGAGAGAAAGAATTCTTTCTTTTGAGAGAGAGGGAGAAAACAACGTTTCTCTCTAATGAAAAATGAAACCGCGAAAAGTCCATTAGTAATTCAAACAAAGCCAATCTTCACTAAATCAATGAGAGACAAAAAATTAACTCATGTCCGGGATTGTTATAATGAGGGAGGAGGATAAACTTGTCTTGGGCCCGCGGCGCGAAATAGTTTGCCGAGCACGTTCTCCGCTGACGAGTCCACTTTGGCTCGCGAGGGTTGGTTGGCCGCGCGCGCACTTTGTTGGTGTTTTGTTGCCTCTAGCGTTGCCCTGCCGAAGCTCCGAAGTGACATGCGACGTGTCTAGATGTCGTCCGACGTGCGCACTTATGCAAATTAAGATCGCAGAAACACATGCAAAATTATTCGCTTGCAATTCCAAACGGACGTCACGAAAAATTTGCGTTCGGAATTTAATCACAAAGAGCAAGCAATGAACCTGTTTCAGTGCAAAAAGTACATAAATTAAATTAAAATTCAGTAAATTGAATTTCATAAATCTTTGTCATTTACTTTTGATTCTTACAACGCCGGTGGATTTCTACCGTGCCATTTTGTAAATTGTTATTAAATTTGTTAATAACTCGTGAAATAATTATTTTTAATTTATAATGAATGATTTAATTAGACAGCAAATAATTTGTCAGAAATATGTATATTTTTAATATAAAATCAGTTTGTTAAATAAGCAAGAGAGTTATCCAATGAATATGATAACACAATACAGATAATGTATCGGTTGGATTGCTTTTATTGTTTTTACGTACGTCACCCACATATTATGCGCGTGTCACCCACATAAATCGTTGGCTCCCAAATGAGGTTGCGGTCGAGCATTTCCCAACCGACGTATAAAAATTTAAATAATAACGACCGTGCATATGCATTTGTAATGTATTTTAGACAAAACTAACATTGAAATAATCGTTAAATTGGAAGTGAAAGCAAATTTATGCAACCGGCAATGCCAAACTGTTACGTAGGTTGCATACTTTGGATTTGCCAGGAGCTCAGGAAAGAATTATTAAATAAGCAGAATGAAATAAAATTGCAACTTTTAATCTATAATTCTGCAGAAACCGACATAAAATGTCGTGAGAGGGGAAATTCATAAAATTCCGAGTCGCAGAAAATAAACAAGACCCCGCAACGAAATTGCGCCTTTCAATCTGCTGCTCTTCGTTGGCCCGGAATTGAATCAAGCGTGTGAGGGAGGGGGTGGCTGGGCGCGCATCCCTAAGTGGCATTAGGGGCGGCTCTCCTTTGCTCTTCGATTTTTCGCGTGCGTATGCTTCTTGCACTGCGGCAAGTCTGGACGGTCGTGACGTCACGATTGCCGCGCTACGTCACGGCCGGCCAGAGCTAGGCGGGCGGGCCCCTTTTCTTTCTTTCTTTCCCGCAACCGAACGGGGGATGGAAAAGCAGGGCGATCCGCATTACACGCACTTTATAGATAGGGTGGAGACAGAAGAGGCACTCGGCGCCGGCCGGCAAAGTGTTTCTTTGTCTCTCCTGATGCCAAGAGAAGCGCGGTGCTTCAAATGTTTTATTTGCGAAAAGTCTTGATTTGGCTCCGAGCCACATTCGCATTTCGAGATTAGGCAAAACAAATCAATTTTTGAGAAGCGAACACAATAAATTTGTAACATTTGTGTCTTTTGAGTTATTTTTCTTTAAAAGGAAAATTGTAGAGGAGAAAGTTGAGCATTTTTATGGTGAAATTACAAAGAAAATAACAAAGTTTGAAAAACAAACAGCGCTCGGAAAAAGGTCAAGAGCCAAGTGGTGCTCGAAAGAACTTAAAAGAGCAGGCAGTCATTGTGTTTGCAAAACAGCGCCTTGTGAATTGTTGCGAATTGCGAGACTGGGAATAAAGCGAAAGATGAAGCGTCACCGTGATAATGTGGCAGCCCCATGTGTTGTACCAAAATTACATAATTAATAATTTCACAAATCACAAATAATCATGCGAAGGTATTTGACCTTGCCGACAGTGACATCAGCATCAAATTACAATGCTGGAATTAATAACGCATCTCAAGGTAGTGCAAAAGATTCCCTAATCGCACGTGGGTTTATTCAAACTCGCTTGTAAAAAAATACTTTTAAATAATTTTCAATGCTACAAGCTTAATTGACTAGAGAACATTTAACAAACATCAATTTTTATCAAAATAATAAATTAATTTTAATTATTTTCATTAAAGTAAAATTGATGATCAAATTTACTTTTTCAAAGTTGAACGACCTGATCGAAGCAAAAATGGGGGTGTTGCGAAACGTGGACTAATTCGAGAAGGGTGGCCTATAAATCAATTTGCATGCGGGTCGGTCGATAGGGTGTGGATGACGTCAAGTGTGTGGCGGTGCGGCCGAGCCCCGGTGACGTCGCGGGGGCCGGCGCGCAGAGGGCGCACGCCCGCCCTTTCGAGCCGGATAGAATTTTTCGTCGCAGCTTTTTAATAAGTCGCTGCCTCCGTCGGGCCGATGTTGGCTGCAGCAGTGCACATGCAAAGCTGAAAATCGTGCGCCGTCCGCGACGATGAAGTTGGAGCCGCGACCATGTTGTTGCTGCACTGAAGTCGACGCAAAACGCATCCGTCTCGACGAGAAAATCGACACCGATATGTCGTTCATCGCGAGGTACTTGAGGAAACGCAAGGTGAGAGAAATCGTAGCGTTTTTTTTCATTTTTTATGACTAATATGGAGGCAAAACTCAAAACTTGTATCTCGGAAATTCTAGCAAAAATAATAGTATTAAAAAAAATGAAGATTCCAGAAGTTTCTATCAATTTAAGTTAAGAAATTATTATTTTATTTATCCACATTGTTACAATTACATTGATTACATTCCATTGTTGAAAAAAATTTATTTATAAAAAGGAATTGTTGGACAAAACCACTAGCAAGAGTTTTTCTTAAAATCCCAAAATATATTTTAATACATTAAATTAATACAAAAATTCTTAATGTCAATAGAAGATTTTTTATTTGAGAATTATGACTGAAATGCTCATTAAAAGTTGTTATAAAAGGGTTGGCTGAACATTTGTCTATATCAATACATTTTATAAGCCGCTTACTTGCAAGAGGCAGAAAATACCTCTTTTCAAGCTAAAGTAACGTTCATTTTTATAATTTTGCTGAACTTTAAAGTTCTGAAAATATATTGAAAAATATCATTTATGAGAACTCTAAAAATAAAAATGAATAATGCATATTGTTGCAAATTTAGCCCAATTCTTAAAACCCTCATGAATCCAAAAAATAAAAAATGGGCATTTAATTATTAGTTTATATGTATAGATTTTGTATTTCAGGTTGCAAAGTATTCCAATTTAATTATCAAATAAACCGAAAAAATTTTTATTATATAAAAGGAAATTTGTAGAAACTTCTAGATGGAAGACACTTTATCAATCAAGAAACAAATTTACTTTAAAATACATTTGAATGTTTTTTTTCTTTATAGAGTTGAAAACTGTTATCAAGTCTTCAATTACTGAATTTAAAAACTAAAATGATTTTGCAAAATAAGAATTTTTATAAATTCTGAAAGAAAATAGCAACAAATATTTCTTTCTGAGACATCACCAATGGCTTATAGAAATTCACATCACGCTTCTGTTCCAAAGTCAGGAATTACCAGTCGTAAAACTGATTTGTTTTGTTTTTGTCCTTGCGTCTTCTCTCTCTGCCACGCTTAGGAGTGGAAAATAGCAAAATAGCGTCAGGGGAGAAAAGGTTCCATTACGTGGGCATTCCCGCGAGTGAGTTAATATTAATAAGGGCAGATTGCGGCCGACGCATGCATTAAAGCGCGCAGGGAGAGACAGAATGTCCAATTAGGCGTTGCTAAAATTAGCCCCGAATTTAACTCGGCCGCGTTTGGGGTGGGTTTGTATCGCGCGATTGTGCGTGGCTCATCAAAAAAGCTTAATTGGTTGGTTTTGTCTCGGCGGGCACGAGTACCTTTTACCTATGCCCCTCGAACGCTGCTTCAGATTGAGCGCCGAGTCAGCAGATTCGCGCCGAGGCCTCTCGGACACACTCTTCAGTCATGCTGACTGATCCACTATGCTAATAAGCGGCTGACGCCAACCGCCCCCGAACCCCTCCACTCTGCGCTGCCCAATTTGTTGATTTTCGTTTCAAACAATAATTCAATCACAGTTTGTTTTTCTTGCTTTCACTTTTTTTTACTTTTGTATAAATTTGGTGCATTTTAAAATTAGTTCAGTGGTTGATGACTTTGAAATCAAAATTTTATAATAAACTAACTTTCAATGCGCTTGAAAAAGCGATTTTTTTTTATTTCTTGTTATCACAGTGGTTTATGAGGAATTACAAAAATAGAGCCTTTTCTAAAATTACTAGATTTTTTTGCAAAGGGATTTTTATTACTTTTTAAATTTAATTCTCAAAAGTGCTGATTTTTTTCGAAATCTTTTTGTATTGAAAATGGTTAACAATTCTGCCAAATTTTAAAATAACATAATATTTGTATTCTTCTTACAATTAGATAAACAAAGTTTGTGTTTCAAGTGTAGATTTGTATGCATGAAGTGAAAAATGGACTTGTTCTTTCTGGATAAAAAAAATCCCTTATATTGAAAAAAAGAAACACATTTTCCCTTAAAAATAACAGCCCTAAAATAGCTCATTCAAGTTCCATCTTTTTTTAATAGAAAAAATTCAACAAGCCTGTTTAGAAAATTCAGATCTTTCAAGTTGAGTAAAAAAAAAAAACCATT